CACCAATACAAATATAATTAAATTGAGCCAAGCATGAACAGCCTTGATTATGCTTATTCGTTTTTCATTTGCAACTTTCTCCTTCTCATGTCTGTCGTTAATGCCTGGGTACATTAAATTCAATCATAGGAGACGATGCTTAATATAACTTGTTTCTGATATCGACATCGCACTTCATGATTGAGTTTTAAGTTGTCTCGTGGATACTTGATGCTTCCATATCAAGGAATTATGGCTGGAAGAGTGCTTCTGGGCATCTGAATCTCTCGTTTCCAATGGTGATGACTTCACTGTTTGAATGTTTGTTTTATTTTTCGAGTTCTGATGATGAGGCAGATTTTTGCATTTTTTCGTCAAACCAAATGCAAGGCGGCAAAGTTATTTATAGCAATAAGTAATTATTTATTTTTGAATTTTTATTTTAAATATAACAAGAAAATTGTGTGTTATTTCACACAATTATTTAATGTTGATTTACGATATTTATTCGAATTTCAAATGTTTTTTCGGGATATAAGGATTAAAAAACGATAATTTTTGATTATAAATCGGTTTGCACATTGTTGTTTATAATAGTGCAACTTTAAACTATAAATCTATTCATCACAAATCTTGAAATAACCAACTCAATAATTGTGTTAATTCAAATTTATATCAAGTATTTTCTTTGTTTTATCACAAACTTTTTTGTTTTGTAGCAAGTGACGTTGTTTTATGTAAGATTTAATTAGTACTTTTAATCAATTTAAACCATTTTATTGTTTAGCAATTTTCAAATAAAACACAAAAATGTTCTTTGCATTTTATTTGTTAAAATAGTATTCATTAATTAAAAATAACTATAAACTTTTTGCGTTATTAAAACAATTGAACAAAACGGGGTAACCTTACTGTATTTATTTTTAAAATTTTAAACAAAAACGTCAATTTAAAAACACAAAACACAATTCGTTACAAAATCAATTGAATAAACAATACGTTATAAATAATCTAATATTTTAACTATAATTGTTAATAATATTATATGTGACATTTATATGTCTATTTTTTATTGATCCATTGTCATGGAATAACAGATAGTTGTTAATTTATTATATTTTTTAAAATTATCCTTATTAAAACAAAAATTATTTTAATATTTTTGTTATTTGGTGTGTTTAAATAACATTATTTTACCATTATTGTCATTCAAAACAAATAATTTATTATTTTATTATTATTATATTATTATTTTAGACTTTATATCATTAATGGTAAAATTTTATTTTAAATAAAGTATGTAATCAATTTTAACATCCAATAATTTAAATTGTTATCTTTATAACAACTACATCAATTATATCACATATAATCATTTTATTGATTATTCACTAAACCAGCGTGTTTCCGTTTATATAAATTAAATGCTTATTTGTTTTAATTTAAACTGTGTATTTCAGTCAAAACGCGCTTTATTACAAACACTATGTATCTTCTATAATGATAATATTATAAAAAGGGGTGATTATACCATTTTTGTTATAATTATACATAAAATACAATATAGTTTTAATTACACAAAATTGTTATATCAATGTGATCACTTATCACTTCAATAACATCATGTTGTAGTAAAGATATAATTGTTGATGTGTTATTGTTTCAAAATTATGTCTGTTGATTGTTACTATTATATATAACAATCATAATTATAAAACTATTATAAATAACATGATAAATTATTGATAATATATTAATTTATTTTATTATAAATTATAGTTTAAAGTGTCAACTTTGGTATATATCATGATGTCTTTACACTTGTGTTTTTTTTTGTTTTTCATTATCTCTATACATTTACTATAAGTTTTTTTGTTTGTTGCCCAAAAATGCATTTATTCGAAAATGAATAAACAGTGGCTGCAAATAAACAATTATTTACCAAATACAAATCTTTATATTCTAAATAGATGCATAAAACACGTTTGCCT